GTACTCGGCCTTAGACTTTTTTTTTTTTGTGAGGAAGACCAGCCCTGAGCTAACATCCGATGCCAATCCTCCTCTTTTTTGCTGAGGAAGACCAGCCCTGAGCTAACATCCGTGCCCATCTTCCTCTACTTTATACGGGACGCCATCACAGCGCGGCTTGACAAGCAGTGCATCAGCGCCAGCCCGGGGTCCGAGCGCTTGTGCCACTAGGCCGGCCCCACTCAGCCTTAGACTTTGAGCACGAGATGGCTCGGCTGCCTGCTCCTCCTCTCTGGAGAAGAGCTACGAGGCACCGGACAGGCAGGTCATCACCCCTGGCAACAAGCACCTCCCCGTCCCAAGACCCTCTTCCAGCCCTCCCGTGTGGGTAAGCCTCTGCCACACGGGGCGGCCACACCTCCATACCAGCCTTCTCAACTCCGTGCCCGTCTTTGTCGGGAGCCCCCTGCACGGGACAAAGGTAACCCCTCTCTCAGGAGAGAGTGCCCCTACTGGTGGGCGACAGGCCAGCTTTGTCCCTCCAGGCCAAGCACTGGGAGGGAAGACAGGGCCTCGAGGCCAACAGGTGCCTGCCTTGCCAGGCACGGAGTCCTCCAGGACCAACAAGACAACCTCCAACTCCGTCATGAAGTGTGACGCCGACGTCTGCAAAAACATGTGTGCCACCAATGTCCTGTCTGGGGGGCACGCTGGGCGCCAGGGCGCTGCAGATCGGACACGGGAGATCACTGCCCGGGCCCCCAGGACCGATGTGGGGGGCTCCCAACCGCTGGGGGGCTGTGCCGGCAGACGGCGCTTCCTCAGGAGGCAGAAACTCTGTCTCTCACAGCCTCTGAGGGGCATGGGGATGGAGGGAAGGGAAGGGGCTTGGGAGTCAGGCTGGGCTTGCTGCTGTCTTCCTCAGCTCTCCCAAGCTTCAGGTCACCTAACTGTTCTGTGGGGATAATACCTCCTACCCTGGGTTCAAATTCTGACTATGCCACCTACTACTAGGACCACGAAGTTACTTCACACTCCAGGACTCTCGACTGATCTCTAAATTGAGACCACCACCAGCACGATGGAACGGGGCTGTCATCCGGAGTGAATGAGATCATATGAGTAGGCGCCCCACAGCGCCCGGCACACAGTAAGCACTGTGTGGGTTGTCACTGGCACCGCAGGGGCTCCCCAAATGCCAGTTCCTTCCCCGCCACAGCCAAGTAACAACGCATCTGCATCAGACTGTCCTGTCCATGACGCTCCTCTGCAGCTCCTTCCCACCTGCCCCAGACCCTCGTCCTCAGGCAGCATAGGAATGGCCTCTGTGGCACTTGGAGAGGGAGAAGCAGAAAAAACTAGAATACAGCTGCGCTTGTCTGAATTGGCCACCTTCGAAGCCCAGCAGCAGAAACCACGTGGTGGGCAAGCTCCTCGCGCTGGGGAACGGCAGGCCCTTGCAACAGCTCGGGCTGACGCAGCGGAAGACCTCGCGCCCAGCAGTGCGCCTCTTGCTCCCCCTGCTCGCCAAAGGCGTGGCGTTTCGGCAAGTGCCACCAGAGTGAAGAGGCTTGAGCTGCAGCTGGAGGGAGGGGTGGAGGCAGCGGCACAAGGTGGCCACCCTGGAGAGGGGCCCCGGCCACCGAGGAAGGCGGCGGAGGAGGTGGGCACAGACCCCGCCAGCAGCGATGGGGGAAGGGCCCCACGCTCTTCCCCTACCCCGCAGCAATGGGATGGCCACCCCAAGGAGTTTCCACTTGGGATTAAAACAGCCTTCCAGGAACGAAGGACTGCGGGGGCAGAATTCTGTCACAGGAGACTCTGCTGCATCGCTAGCAGAGAGGACTGCCCCTCCCTTCCCAAGGCCTGTGACGTCTTCCTTGGTGCCTCCAAGGTAACAGCTGCACAGAACATCAGCCCCGGGGCTGAGGCCACGACACGCTGGTACCCACTGGACAGATGCACCTGCTCCTCTTTCCCGGACTGTCACCCTGCCAGAGCGAAAACGCTCCGTGTGGCTTGGGGCTCCACCTGGCGCCCTCCCCACCTTCCAGCAGATGTGCTCACCAAGCAGGAGCACGCCGAGGCTGGCTCTCCAGTGTCCACAGGAAGTGCTTCTGAGCCCCAGCTCCCGGCCCACTTCCTGCCCCCCTCCCAGCTCCCCCTGGGCCAGGACTGGCAGAAGTCCTGCCCTGGGAGAAGCTGCATAGCTCCCGCTGTCCCACTCAAGGGCAGAGCCTCCCCAGCTCTTGACTTTCCTGCCCGTCAGGCCTAACATGAGCTACCCTTCCTCTGAGACTTTGTCTCTCGTGAGTGGAGGGATGAGAGGGTTGGAGTCTGTTTAAGAGACAAAGAATATTCAGAGTAGCCCAATAAAGTAAAATGGAGAAAGTGAACACCACTCTTATCTCATCTGTTCAACTCCCACACAAGTACGCTGGAATTTACATTTAGCTGCAGATGTCAAATGTCACGACGTCTGGCTTTAGGCTCTCTATCTAGGACGCAAAGCAGGCACCCCTCAGACGACCTTTGACCTCTACCCAGGGCTTCTGGGAAGTGGCGCGCACACACACACACTCGGTCTCAGTTCCCACCTCCGGCTGCTCGCCCCAGACACCCTAAGGTGTTGTCAGCCCCGAGGCTTCCTTCACAGGAATGGGTATGGGGCCTCCCAGGGTTTAGGCCCAATGCTGGGACAGTCGTGGGCATCTTCTGAGGCCACGCTGCATATGGCACCCCAGCATCAGGAAGCCACCCCAGCAGCTGAACAAAGTGTCTTTTATTTGTGACATACAAATACAATCAATGCAAAAAGAGATCACTTTTTCTCTTTGATTCCAGTGATAAGTTGCTAAAGAAAAAATATATAGATACCAAGAAGTTTATCTTCCAAGTTTCCTCTAAAAAAAAAACCAGAAAGGGTTAAAAAGAACCATATACATATCATATACACATTTGACATCAACAAAAATAACCTGAAATAGGATGGATACAACTAGGAAAAAAGTCTTAAAAAATATTTTAACATGCCCCAAAGAAACAATAAACAAAAAAGCCTGGTACATAAGGCCGGCTATGTTTCTCAAAACCAAGACCTGGGGGAAGTGCAGAAAGACTGATGTTTGAGAACTGAGTCGACACCAACAACAGAGACCGAGCTGCTGTCTCAGGCAGCGCCTCCCACTCCAGCCCTGCCCTCCCAAGGCTGGACGAGCAGGGCATAGTACCAAGGTCCCCGTTTACCAAGGGGCTTGGGGCCAGGCATCCAATGACTGGAAAGAGACAACGTACACTGAACTCACCTTATGTGGGATTTACACTGAGGGTTCCTTTTGGTCCCCTGAGCGGGAGGTATCAGAAATCCACAATCTAAGACAATAAATATTTATCATTCTGCATCCTTCGAGACAGGGATTAGAGGAAAAACTCTTCCTAAACATGCTTCTGCCATTCCATGGTTCTCGGAAGGAGCCCAGCAATGCCCTGCCAGCAATTCAAATCCTCCCCCTTGGAGCCAGCAGGGCAGGGGCAGAGGTGGGCTTATCCCAGTGTAAAGCTGAAGGCCCTCTCCTAGGCAGCCCTGCCCCACTGGTGGCGGGGTCCAGAGCCACGCGGAGCACTCGGCGGAGGGCTGGGCTGGCTGAAGGAGGCCGTGTGTGTGGGTCCCGGCACAAGCAGGACTCAGCGGACAAGCAAGAACAGCTCCAGGGAGATCCGCCAGCACAGACCGCCTGAGTCAGGGCAGAGGGTGGGGTGTGAGCAGATCTGAGGTCAGAAGGACCGACAGATCGCCACAAGAGCAACTTCACGAAGGCTACCACCTTTAAGACACTCCCTAAAGCAGAGCTTAAGGATGTCCAAGGGGAGGCCTCAGATGCTTTTTCCTGGATAAGGATTTGGTTGTTTTCTTCCCTGGAAGAGGAACGAGGGTGAGGGTGAGCTCTGAGCCTGCACACCCTCCCTACCCCATGAGAAGAGGATGGCCTGCTCGTCCCAGCTCCCGCCCGCTGCCACAAGGTGGTATCAGAGAGAGAACAGCAGCGGATTCAGGAACAAGAAGGGTTCCTACTGCAGCCTGAGCTGGCGGCCAGGGCGCTGGCACTAGTGCCTCACTGAGGCCGCGAGGGGCAAGGCTGGGGAGCGCAGGCAGAGGCCTGCTGCTGGCTGGGGCTCTCTGCAGAGGTGGGGCAGCGCTGGGGAGGGGTGCCCCACCTTCAGAGAACTATCAGCACCAAGACAGGAGAGGAAATGGCACTCGGTGAGCCGGGAACGAGGGTCCTCCTGGGGGAAGATGAGGGCTCCCTGATGTTATCCCCACTTGGGAGTAAGAACAGAGGTATCTGGGGTGGCAGAGAGAGTGAGGGAAATAGAGAGGAACAAGCTGGCTGTGAATGGAAAACTCGAGTCACTGCCATGACGTCAAAAGGTGAAGCTTAGAATGCAGCCAAGTCCAAACAACCAGAGAAGCCATCGTCCCCACGGCCGGACCCATCCCACACCTTGTTCCTGGTCCTCTCGGCTCCTCTCACTGACAGCGATGGAGAGGGCGAGGCAGCCCTCCTCCCAGAGGCGGCTGGGCCCCTGAGAGACTCCACACCAACTGTGGATCCATAAAAGCAGAGCCAGAAAGAGCCCCCTTACTTCCCTGTGTCGTGGCACAGATCTTCCTATGGTTTCCGTCAGGGTGTTCCATCCACAAAACGAGTCTTCCTGAAGCCTTTCTTTACGCCCAGATCTTACACTGAGTCCATTCCTCTTTGGGGACCAGCCAGACCCTGATCCAGGGTTCCAGGACTTTCATAAAGGTGGGAATAAACACTCCATTTGTCCAAGTGTGTGCGAGTGTGGGGGGCTTGTCAGGAATCCGGCTGCAGAGAAGTTGGGGAACCTTACAATCGAGGGCATGAGAGCCGAGACAGAAGGCAGGCACTGTGTGAGGATGCGCTCCATACCCCGGCCTCTGCCAGCTCTTCCCTCAGCATCTTCTCCTCTCTGCTCCCTCCTGGCACTGTGCTCCTCTAGAAGAGGGGAGGAGGGCAGCTCGGACCACTCGTCCTCAGGGTTCTGTGCTCTCAGGGTACAGCCTGGCACGTGTAGGGCTGAGGAGGCCACAGCTCTGGGGGCACCCAGCAAGCGGCGTGAGACCAGGGGAAAGGACAGGCCTTGGAGAGAGCATTCTGGCTTGGGAGTTCAATGGCAGCAGCCGCCACAGTGCCCGCCCGTGTGGGAGTGCTGGCTGTCCCCAAACTTGGTCCTCCGGCTCAGGATCTCATAGGAGCAGTCCTCCCCACAGCAACCAGACATGCTGGGGGAAGAGTCGTCGATTTCAAATCTGCAAGGCAGGCAGGAAGAAAGCGCTTGCGGCAGGGAGCTAACGGCCTTCCTCCCTGGCCCCAGAACTCTTCCACCAACCACACTCACGATACCCCTAGACGGGAGGGCACAGGAGGAGGGCAGGGGACCAGGCCAGAGGGCACTCACAAGCCGTCTCACCGACCCCAACCCTATGGACCACTGGACGGGGGGCTCAGGCTCAGGCATCAGGATGAACGGGGGCCAGGACCAGGAAAAAGGCACTGGGGCAGGCACCTCCTACGCCCCGAGGGCCCCAGCCCCGGGCCCAGCTCCTTACTGCAGCGCTTCTCTGAAGAACTGGTAGGCGCCATGATTGTGCTTAAACACCGTTAACATAACTTTCTTCATCTGTGTGCTGAGAAGAAAGCAGAAAGAACACCTTCCAGAAAGAGAAACAGATGTTAAGTCATGCTTCCTCCTCTCGTGTCTGCCTGCTGTCCGCCACTCGCTCCTGAGCAGCACTCCTGAGCCCCGACTCCAGCCTCTGCTAGGGCACCCCACACTCAGTGCTTCCCCGTCAGGGGGCTGCTCAGACGGCCCGGCAGCAGGCCCCCATCTGACCAAGTTCTTCACCACCTCCTCTCTGCACCCCATTACTCAGGCACGGGACAGGCACTCACACGGGCTTGCTACACCCACCCGAACACACCAACTCCCGAGTCACAGCAGGGGACGGAGGATCTGACTGAGAGGGTTCTAGACGCCTTTCTTCCAAAACATTCTTATAAGCCTTGTCCTCCAAGGAGCCTCAAACAAGAGCAGATGCCACCTGAGCGACACACGGGGTGGCCCTTACCTATTGGCCATGAGCTGCAGGATCTGGATGAGGAACTTGCCCAGGCCTTTCCGCCGCACCTTGCTTTCCAGCTGCACCTCGTAGCTGGGTGAAGAAAGCGAGGGGAGCGTGAGGAGGCTGCGAGGCCGGTCAGCGGAGCCCACAGACCAGACGGGCACACTGGACTCTGCCACTGGCGGGGGTGCCTAGAGCAGCACGTGTCTCCCCCCACTCCTGCCCCCGCAGGCTGGGGCTCCTACCAGTACAGGACTTCATCCCCGCACTCCACGTCAAACCGGAAGTGAGAAAAGGCAACGGGGACGGAGCTGTTTTCCCAGGCAATGAGGTACCAGGCTCGGTCGTCCGTCATCTCCTCGCGTTTCTCTCGGTCCTTCCAGCCCCACTCGCTCTGCTCATACCTGGGAAACGGGGGCAGTGAGGACGGGGCGCTCGTGCTCGGGCGAGGAGAGGCAGCCTGGGGAAGAGAAGGCTGCCCTCCGTCGGGCGAGCTTACATGGTCTGCATGTTGGTCTTGGTCAGGTCGAAGGCCCAGTCCACGGTGGCCGGCTCCAGGCCAGACACTCGCTTACACTCGATGGAGACGTTTAACCTGAGAAGAGAAGGAGGCCTTGGGAGCCTGCTCCCCGTCCACCACAGCCTGCCGCCCTGAGAGCCTGACCGCGAGGCACGCCTGGCCTCCATTAATCCAGAGAAAAGCCAAGCCAAGCCTTGCCTCCCCGGACGTGACTCCAGAAGGCGCCTGTGAAGGAACTAAGCCTTTCGGGCCGAGATTAACAACTGTCATCACCGCCCGCCGCGCTGACCACAAGGCCCACTTCCTGCCTCCCCTGCTCGGCCCTTATCAGACTCGCACTCTGTGAACTTCTGTCCCTCTCTGCTACCTCTTTCTCTCTCCGCTGTCTTTTGTTCTTTGTTACAAACACTCTAGTCGTCTCTGTTCCCTTAGTTCCCGTCCTTTGGCATCTTCCCTGTTGCCGTAATTTCTGGACTCCTCTGGGCTCCCATGGGTCTCTTCCTCCTTATCCACCCGTCTCAGCTTTGAAAGCAGCTGGGTGACCTCAGGCCCTTCGAGAAGACTATGGCCCACACCCCCTGCGAGGAGTCCCGCCTGCCGCTTCCTCTGAGGACAGAGGGTGCTCTCGGCTGATCAAACAGGCTGGCCCAGGGTCCAACCCCAGGCTGTTTTCCTAAACTAACACATGCTGAAGGCATTAAGGTATCTTAATCTGCTCTTTACCTCTAAATGAAATTGAAGTAAATTACAGCTAAATTCCTTGGCCAAACTGTAAACTCATGTTCTCTAGGTGGTGCCACATTCTGAAAGGACTGAAGTCAGCAACTCTGAGTCCCTGCAGAGCTACCATATCAATATCTTCTAGTGGCCTCTGACACGACCCCTCAGAAGCCATTGCCACTGGAATCCACTGCCCCTCTGCTGACTGGCACGCCGTATGAGCTGTCCACGTGCTCAGCCTTGTAAACTCAGACCTTCCTGGCTCTGAAGCCCTCCTTTCTTTTTAAGTACTGACCATGTAGTAGTCAGAAATGCCCAAACACAGCACTGCATCTGTCTTAGCTTTATATTTTCCAAAGGCAGTCTGCAGGTATAAATTCTCTGCGAATCTGAGTTCTTTACATGAAAACAGGACCACAGGCACAGAAATCACACAAAATGCTAGGCACCAAAGGAGCCCAGAGTCGGCTGGCAATGCCTGCTTCAGAGCCGCTCTATATTTTTGGAAGTCAGCAAAAATGTGGAATATGGAAAACTAAGAGACATCACAGCAAGGGATCTCGAAACTATGTCAGGGGACTTCCCAGCAGCTGAATGACAAAGCTACTAGACAGACTGGAATGCATCTGATCACAGACAGGAAGGGGAATACATTAAAGTGATACTATGAAATTCAGACACAGCTATGCGAGGCAAATATAGCGTCACCTACGAGAGTCTTTGCTTCATAATTCATATATTTGCATTTGTCTAACTGTTTCATTAAAATACTCGCACCAGCTGCTACTTACAGAACTGGATATATTCTCCTTCCTCCTTCAACAACCTTGCAAGCTTGGCATCATCATTCCATTTAACAGATTAAAAAAATGAGGCCTGAGGAGTATCAGTGACTCATCCAAATACAGTTAACGAGAGGCACAGTTTAGATTCAAACCCATAGCCATGACTCTCTAAAACCATAGCCCCCGTTTTTCCCTAAGCCAACAGCATCTCTGTCAAGACAGATTATGCTTCCTCTTATATAAACCAAAAAGACAGAAAGGAAAGAGAGGCCTTCATCCAGATTCTACAGTAAACTGGATTACTAGTAAAAACAGCAGTAATAACACCTAACACTGATCTCACTTTTAGTCTGCCCCAGGCACTAACCCTTCACATCTAATCCTCCTGATGACTCCATGAAGAGAGGACTATTATTAAATCCATTTCTGATTAGAAAATTGAGGCACAGACTGGTTAAGTAATTTGTCCAGGGTCTCACAGCCAGTAAGTGGCTTTTAACAAGTGGACTATACACTCAGGGAAAGAGCACTGAATTGGGAATTAAAAGCCCCCTCAGCTGCCAGGGAGAAAGTCCGTAAGCTCATAAATCTCATTCAACTTCTCTGAGCCTCAGTTTCTCCCTGTATAAAACAGGAATCACCCTAGATGATTTTTCAAATTTGTTTCAGCTCTATGATTCTTCATCCAGAGAGAATAACAAGTTCTAAAGAGACATCAGTCTGAGAACAAGCAATCTTTGCTCATTCACAGATTTCTCTGTCCCCCTAACCAGGGGATTTTGTATCAACGGGGCACTAGCCATAACTTCTGCTTTCTCATCACAAAAACCAGAGAGAACATCTGGGTCTGAGGAAGCCTGCCCTGGAGAGGTGAACTTCTGAAGAGACTCCAGGAGATAGGAGCCGGGAATGCCAAACACTCACCCATTGCGATCGTACTTCTTGAACACTGGGAAAGCCTCCAAAGGGTCCCCGAGCTGTGGAGGGAGAGAGAAGAGGAGTAGCACAGACACGCGGGGCACTCACAGGCTCTGCCCTCGAGGACGACGCGGGGCAGACCCATGTCGGGAGGCCCAACTCTCGGGCCCGGGAGAGCCCTTATACGGTCCCTCCACCTGCCTCAGCTCTGAAATCATGCAGGAGGGAGGCACTGAGAAGGAGGTCCAGGAGAGGGAAGTGAGCGTCATCTGACAGGGTAAGGGGAGGCTTCGCCAGCCTAACACTAATACTGGCCTGGGGGCGTGAAACCCGCTCACCTGACCCAGAGACGCAGCAAGGCCACGCGATCCACCTGCGCACTTCTATGACGCCCCCAACCAACCTCAGCTGGTCAAACCCAAAATGGAACAACCATGTCCCTGAGCCACATCCTTACAACTGTAGACTGTTTACTGAGTGGGCTAAAAGAATAACAAAAAGTGGGAGATGGAACGGGGGCAGAAGGCACCACCAGAATCTCTCCGGTTCAGTGTGAAGGCCAGGTCCGCTCACAGTTGAGCCCATCTGGCGCTCACATTCACGGCTACTCCTCCTGACTGTGGCCCCTGGACACCAGGCTGCTGCATCCTCGGCCCCAGCACAGCCTCTGGGACTTCACAGCCAGCCAAGAAAAGTTCGAAGGAATGAATGAGATTCTACCTTTTAGCAGGGAGGTTTCCTCCCCAAAAGGCAAAATCCTAATAAAAATTTCTCCAGACCCTCTTCCATCACTAAGGTAAGGAAGGAGACCCACAGAGAGATGTGAATCCACATTTCCCTGCACACCCGGGCCCATGGTGGCCCTCCTGGAAACTCTCTGGCCTGTGCTCATTTCCCTCCACAGCAAGGAGGTGGCAGAGGTGTGGGTGGCTAGTAACACAATTCTGCCACAGGGTGGCGCCAAAAGAAGTAAAATCCAAAACCAAGCTCCCGGAGGAAAGGACGGAGGGGAGAGTCACCCTGTTGGCGGCATCCACTTTGGCGCAGACGGCATCCATGGCTGCTCGTTCTTCCAACCGCTTCTGCTTCTTCTCCTTTGCTTTGCTCGACTTCCTCTGCAACAGGGAAAAGTGAAGTTGGCTGGAAGGGCTGTGGCCAAAGACTTGACTTTCCCTTTGAGGATCCCAAGGGTCAGTCCCCGAATCCAGAGCCTGGCCTCAGTGGCAGGAACTTCCGATCCTGGCTGCTGCACACTGGGGCAGTGGGAAAGGCTCAAGCGTTTGCCAGTTGTGAGACCTTGGGAGCATCACCAGACGGAAGAGCACGGACCCTCGGACCACCGGGTCATGGTGAGGGCCCAGGGAGAGCACGTGGTGATGCCTGCAGCAGAGCCTGGCCCCCAGCAGGTGCCTAATGAATATTCACACGTCCGCTCCCTCCGAAGGAGGTAACAACTAATTCAGACACATTCAGGGCAGGTTTCAGGGAGGAGATGGCATCTGAGGTAGCCAGTGACGGCTGTTCCTAAGCATAAGCTTCTTCAAAGCCTTTTCAATGGCTTCCAGCTTCAGGAGACAAACATCTGGCCTGGGGGCAGCCCCTCTGGGAGCCGGGCCCCCTTTCTAAGAAGGGCCAGAGCTCTCTGCCTAAGGAGATGGAGCCGTTCCCCCAAAGGGCTGCTCAGCCAAGGCCAATGAGTGGCGGGCACACCGCACACCTAGTAGCAACAAGGGCAGAGTGAAGGGCCCCAAGGGGGTCACCCGGGGACACAGGCCATGCTGACACGTGGTCAGCGAGGCCAACTTGCAGGGCACACAGGCAGCAGGGGAGGAGCAAAGGCAGGCTGTCCTTGCAGAGTGGGGCAGACAGCAGACCGCCCACAACCGCATCCAGAGCAGAGCCTATCTTGAGGCTCACGTGGGGTTCTCCAGGCCTAAATGGACCCTCTCACCCTCTTGTAAACAGCTGGTAACACAGGGAAAAGAGCCAGGTCCTGGAGGCTGACAGACTGTATCCACAGCCCCTCTCTGCTCTTCAGTGCCTGCTGGTCTTGGGGGAACACACAGCCCTTCTCTGACCTCCTCTCCTCATCGGACGCCTGGGCCCCTCCTACCTTCGAGGGAGTAAGCCCGGGGTGAGGGGGGGTGTTAATACGGCAAGTGCTGGATAAATGGCAGTTCCCATCCTCACTCGCAGGAGGACCAGAGCAGCACATGCGCGCGGAGGTGCTCAGCCCCCAGCCCGAGTCCAGAAAGAACCCCAAAGGCACTGGTAAGACAGCTCTGCTTTTTACCAACCGCACGGCCTCTCCTGACCCCACCGCCCATGCCCCGAGCTCACGAGAGACGTTTCCTACCTCCCCCCACACCTCAGTCTTGACCCTGACCAGCCCCAAGGACGGCGGAGCTGAAGAACCAGCTGCTGGGAAAGTGACTCAGGATCAGTTCTACCCTTGGTCCCCCAAGGAAGGACACCACTTTACTCCCCTCCAGGCAACAAGCAGGCGAGAGTGCGAGACACCAGGAGCTCACAGGGCTTGCTCTTCTAGGTATGAACTTGTCCAATGCCAGCTGTTTACTACCTGCAGGCTGAGCACCGTGCCAGAAGCCAGGCTAGTGCCCACTTCCCACCTGCCTAGAGGGAGGAACACACAGAGAACAGACCGTGTCACTATGCTGGGATCTGGGGACAGAACGAGCCTCTCTCTACACACAGACGTTTCAGAGCACCCATCTTTTTCTCCGGGAATTTGGGTTTCAAGACAACACTGATACACTCAGCTTACAAAGTCCTTGCACAAACATTACCTGGTGCAATTCTCAGGGCAGAAACCGTCACCTCCCTTCACACGGGAGCAAACGGAAGCTCAAAGGGATGCCGTGGCTTGCTCAGAATTCCCCGGAGAGGAAATGGCAGGCGGGAGACTCAATCCCAGGGGCCGGGCCACAGATCCAGTGTTTGTTCCACCAGCCCCACCGTCTCCCATCTGAGCCCTGCCAAGATGAGGCCTGCGGCCTCAGAGCCCTCCGACAGCCACTCAGCAATTCATTTCTCACTATCTCTCTGGTTCAGTGATGGCTGACACGACACGCCAACACAGTGCCACCCCAGGCCCTACCTCCACACTGCGGCAGGGGTCAGGAACAGGAAGGTCCCCAGGGCTGTGACACTAGGCAGAAAGACAGGAGCTTTGGCATCAATCAGGCCAGACCCATGCTCCTCCTGCCCCACCCCCTGCAGGACTTGTGAAAGCAACTCCATCCCCAGGAAGACAGGGACGCAAATGCTGGCCTCGGCGAGTAGCTATAACGAGAGGGCAGAAGCCAGCACCCCTTCGCAGTAGAGGCAAGCTCGCTCCCTCCACCCTGCATGCTGGCTCTCTCTTAACACACACTGAGCTGGCTGAGCTGGCAGATCAAAGATGCTGGAAGGAAAGTGTGAGGCACGGGACCCAGAAAGCACTGCAGTGTGGGTCCCCTCCACAGCAGCTCCTTTCTAAGCACATGAAGTAAGTAATTCCTAAGCACGAGCAGCAGGAGGGCCAACCCCGGGCCTCCCGGAGATTTATGGGCTCATTCATGCAGGGGAACAGGCAAGCCAGGCAATGCTCAGAGCGAGGCTTCGAGGCTTTGGGCCGCCACGGCCTGCGCCTGCAGATAATAAGAGAGCCCCTTAAGCGCTTGGCTGCCAGCATCCGGGGTAGGAGGCGGGCTGCAGCCGGCTGGGCAGACAGGCTCCCCCTCAACCCAGCACACTCCAGGAAAAGCGGGCTCCTACTGTTCCAATTAGCTTTGCCCTGCCTTGCAGAGGTAAGGCTATCCTGCAGGGACGCAGGAAAATTCTCCTAATTAAAATGGGAAATAAGCACAGCGAACAGTAAAGCTCATTGTGGTTAAGTGTCTTCCCCAAGGGAGCTTTATATGATAAAAAGAGTGTCGGATTTTGAGTTGAGACCTGGATTGGGTTCTCAGCTCTCCCACTTCACAGCTGTGTGACTTTGGGCAAATCTTCTTTTCAGCAAGTTACTCAGCTTCTCTGAACCTCAATTTCCTCATCCTTAAAATGGGGCTGATAATGCCTCCACTTCACAGGACTGTCGTGAGGACAAAATGATACAATGTACGACATATAGAGTTCTTCACAGGAAGGACCTATGTTTACAAGGAGCCACTAGTGTCAGACACTCTGCTAGAGCTTCAATAAAGATGACATTTTTATCTTTATAGTAACTCAGCAAGGTGCGTGCACCCACTTCTTTGACGAGAAAACTGAGGTTAGATAGCTTTCGGCATTCAGGGTCACAGAGCCAGGGAACAGAATTCCCAGAGACATCTTCCCACCACCCGTCCTTCCACTGCCAGCAGACTGTACACTCTCAGAGGTAGAGGTCACATCATGTGCCAGTGTATACCCAGTGCTCAGCAAATGGGAGGTACTCAGGTCATGCCCGCCAAATGTATCATCCAAGATTCAAACCAGGTCTGAACCCTAAAGACCATGCTCCTTCCACCACATCAACTACATTAACATGGCACTTGTTTTCACATGCAGCTGTGAAACTCCCCCCCTTCCTATTCCTATCAAACTAGTGTCTCCACACATGGTCCCCTAACTGCTGGCGGTCACACAGAGAAATTAAGAAACAGAAAAACCCCAGATGGGGGCGGGAGGCACTTTTTCAGAAAAGGGGTTTGGCATCTCTTAGATTTTCAATGTCGACGCCTCCATCCCACAAAGTACCCAGGATCCTAAAAGAACCTCTGTTTTTGGCGAAGGCAGACAGAGATCTAAATTCTAACTCCTAAAAGACAACTCCTGTGTGGCAGCAAGGGCTAAGAACTTTGAGAAGAATGGCGCTCCACTGATGCGGCTCTCCCTCAGCCTGAGGTCAGGCTGTCAAACGGAGCAGGGCCCTCTGCTGGAGGGTGAACACTACGATGACCTTCCTGCCACTGAAGTGGGGCGTCCATGGCTCCCACCCATGAGGGATGAGGATAATGAGAGGGTTCCAGCTCTGGTTCAGATCTCTCTTTTGCAGTAAGTTTTAGGCCAGGAGAGACTAAGTAGGTGCCGTTCTGAGAAACACATCTGTAAAGTATGAGTAATAAGATTGGGGCCCTAAAGGAAGCAAGGATGGCAGTATCGCTGAGGCCTGCTGCTTCAACTCAACCAATGAGGAAGTGTTGAACCAGAATGCCATGCTATGCTTCTTGTTTCTCACTCAGTCTGTAGTGGCTGATGCTGGGTAGACACTTACCCAGTGATACTGCAGACACAGGTTTCATTTAGTTTCAACAGGAGCTGGGGTCTGGAACCTTTCACCAAAATCAATGTTAAATACTCCCCAGGTCTCTAGACTTGATTTGCTACATATGAAGTACACAGTATCCAAAACTCTTTGTTGAAACATGATGAATGCGTTTTGACATGGATTACATAAAGTACTTTGACATGGATTAGACAACTATTTTTGTCTAACAAGTTGATTTGTTCAGTCAATAACTATTTGAGTGAGAGGAAAAAAAATCTAGGTTAATAACAGTAGGGAGACTGGGCCAGCCCCGTGGCTTAGCGGTTGAATGCACGCGCTCCGCTGCTGGTGGCCTGGGTTCGGATCCCGGGTGGGCACCGACGCACGGCTTCTCCGGCCATGCAGAGGCTGCGTCCCACATACAGCAACTAGAAGGATGTGCAGCTATGACATACAACTATCTACTGGGGCTTTGGGGAAAAAATAAAATAAATAAAATTATTTAATAACAGTAGGGAGAAACCCAATGGGTTAAAAATAGCACAAATCCATTTCAGATAACTAAAGACTGAGAATACAGGCAAAAATAACAGCCACTATTTAGGGGGCACCTATCTGGCTATTTATATCCACTATCTCATTTAATCCTCACATCTATTCTAAAGGGGGAGGTACCATCAACCTCGTGACGTAGATGAGGTGTCACTGAATTCAAATTCAGTAAGGCTATGCCACTGCCACATTCCATGCTGCTAGCCAGTGAGGATGGGCTGGAATTGAGCTATCTGGCTCCAAACTCAGGGCTCCCTAAAGGTGGTGGAAATTCCACGTAAAAACTAATATACACAGTACCAGGGAGGGCTGGTTCCATTTACAGGAGGGTGACTGATGCTGCTCTAACTGGGACTTAGGAAGCTGAACTCACAGAAACATGTGGCTAACTTCTGCTCAACCCTCTCTGAACACAGGCCAGGGAAGCACACAAAATGCACCCCCAGGCGGCCTTGCACGGAACAGGTGGTCACTACCCATCAGCGGCTGGGGCCATCACCCGTGGCCCCCATCAGCCCCTGCTCACCTCTGCACAGCTTCCTCACGCAAAGCCACCTGTAGTACTAAGACCACTAACAACCCCAGTAACAACAAGAACCACTTCCTCGCATCTAGGAGGCCGTGAAGGCAGGCCTCTGCTGGAAGGGAAGAGTTTTAGGAGCAGAGGGAACCTGGAGGAGAGGTTTCGAAAGAGTAGGGGAACTGGCTTCGCTGCGAATATCCGAGTAGTGGGAAGCGCAGCGGCCGGGGATCTGGGAGACCCGAGTCGGGGTCCGGCCCCCCGTCACCGCCTGTGTGACCTTGGCTGGGTGCCTTCTTTCCTCTGGGCCTCAGCTCCCTCCACGCCAGGGCCGGCCTAGGACGTGGGAAGCCGCGAAGCCGGTGACAGCCAGGTGATGGATGACCCCTGGGCGCGGGGGGACACGCCAGGGACCGCGCGGAGACTTTGGGGAGGCCCAGAAGGTAACAGGTCATCCAGGAAAGCAGGGCGGGGGGCCCCCGAGGGGGTGGGGCCCGGAGAAAGAGGCTCTCAGGGGATTCCCGGGCTGGGCCGGGCGCGGGGACCCTTAGATGGGGGAGTCGGGTCATGTGGGGGCTGGGGGTCACGTGAGGCCGGAGGGGGTCGGGGTCACGTGAGAGGGGGTTCAAGGAACAATGGGGGCGCAGGAGGCGAGGGGAGCGGGGAGCACTCCCGGCCCTCGCGTCTCCTCTCCCCGCCTCACTCACCCCCATGGCGGCGGCGGCCCTCGGCTCCTCCTTCCCACACTTGCCGGCAGGGAGGCGGCGACGGCGGCGGCGACGGCGGCGGCGGCGACACCAGAGCGGCAGCGGGCCCTGCAGCGCGCATGCGCCTGGCGGGCTC